TATAGTACTACTACTACTTACTACTACTACTACTACTACTACTACGACTACGACTACTACTACTACTACTACTACTACTACTACTACTACTACTACTACTACTACTACTACTAGTACTACTACTATTACCAGGGCAATACGGGGTCCATGTTCCGTTTTTGGAGGCCCTGGAACCTTTTGGATTCTTTTGGATTCTGCGAGAATATCCAGGATTCTGCATGGTCCCTGCGGATTCTGCAGGAATCTTCAGGCTACGGAGGGTGCCTCAGGATTCTGGATTCATCGGGATTCCTCAGGATTCCGCAGGGTCTAGCGCTTAGGACCCTTAGCCCAGGGTCTGGTGCCAGGTCTAGTGGGATCCAAGTGGGGAGCAATCCGGAATCTGAAGGAATGTTCTGGTGGCTGGGGAAGCTCCACTTCTGCTCCTCGTCGAGTGGAATCCTAATGGGGGGGCAATTCGCCTCAGTGTGGTTGTGGATATATGACGCATATATATATGTGTGTATAGTTGATGTGATCATGTGTTTCGCACGCGTTCCCTGTTTATATATATATATATATATATATATATATATATATACATACATGCATACATACATATGTGTATGTGTGTGTCCATATCTACATATGTTTAAATGTTCATTGTTTCGCGCGCATTCCCTGTGACGATATGATGTTTATGTATACACACATATATGTATAGTTCATGTGTTTTGTTTCGCGCGCGTTCCTTGTGAACATATGTATGTATATATATACACACATAGTACATGCATAGGTTGTTCACACGTTTGTCGCTCGCGTTCTCTGTGACGATACGATGCACCTATCTATATATATAATGTGTTGTTTCGCGCGCGTTCCCTGTGGATATACATACATATATATATATATATACATATATGTATGTATATACATATATTCGATCATGTATCATGTGTGTGTTTTGTTTCGCGCGCGCTCCCATATGTATGTATGTATGTATGTATGTGTGGTAGTATGTATGTATGTATGTATGTGCGCGCGTTCCCTGTGAATATATGATATTATCATACGCACCTCTCCGAGGGAGTCGGGCCCAGAGGCGATTAATGCGTACGCGGGGCACCGTGTCCGCGATGTTTTTGGCCGTCTCGCTCGGGACATGCTCGAAATTCTGGAAATCGGTGGCACCCCCCACGCAGATCGTGACGTCAGGGTCCAAAAACACATGGGAAGTTCAACATTCTAACATAACATCTTCAAACACACATGGTAATGTCATTAATTTTGGCCCCGATTCTCAGAGAATGGCGGTTTCGTCTGAAACATCCTCCCACAATCGAGCCCCGACGTACCCTCTGGTACCCCAGACCCTGCCTCGGAGCCTCCTGCCTCCTGGAACCTCCTGGGGCTTCCTGGGGCTTTCTGAACCTTCTGGTACCCCAGACCCCGCCTCGGAGCTTCCTGGTGGTTTCCTGAAACCTCCTGGTGCCTCCTGGGGCCTCCTGCGGCCTTCTTGGAGCCTCTTGGGGCCTCCTGAAGCCTCCTGGGGTCTCCTGGGGCCTCCTGAGGCCGCCTGGGGCCTCCTGGGGCCTCAGTTCTACATGCACACACAGAGACACAAATCACGCCCAACACATCACACACTAGACAAACGTAACACGCACAACACCTACAGCGCACAAAAAGCACGCACAACACAGAGCACACATCACACACACACACACACACACACACACTCACAATCCTGGGGCATCCTGGAGCCTCTTCTGGTATCCAAGTCGGGCCTCCTGCGGTTTCCTGGGGGGCCCTGGTACACACATCGCAAGGTGTGGCAACCCCACTTTCGCTCGAGTGCGACTTCGCTGTTGCATTTCACTCCTGCTTCAAACGCCCCTTCAATGTTTTGTATGAGCCTGGGAACACACGTGCCACTTGTATGTGTGTATGTATGTATGTATGTATGTATGTATGTATGTATGTATGTATGTATGTATGTATGTATGTATGTATGTATGTATGTATGTATATTTCATTTGTTTGTTCCGCGCGCGTTCCTTATGAATATATGATAGATATAGACACGTATTATCATACGCACCTCTCCGAGGGAGTAGAGCTCAGAGGCGATTAATGCGCACGCGTCCGCGATTTTTCTGGGCGTTTCGCTCGGGACATCCTCGAAATTCTGAAAATCGGTGGCACCCCTCACGCAGATCGTGACGTCAGGGTCCAAAAACACATGGGAATTTCAACATGTTAACATAAAACCTTCAAACACACATGGTAATTTCAATAATTGTGACCCCGATTCTTCCAAAATCGAGCCCCAGACCCCGCCTCGGGGCTTCCTGGGGGCCTCCTGGAACCTCCTGGGGCCTCCTGGGGCTTTCTGAACCTTCTGGCACCCCAGACCCCGCCTCGGAGCCTCCTGGTGGTCTCCTGAAACCTCCTGGGGCCTCCTGGGGCCTCCTGCGGCCTCCTGGAGCCTCTTGGGGCCTCCTGAAGCCTCCTGGGGTCTCCTGGGGCCTCCTGAGGCCGCCTGGGGCTTCCTGGGGCCTCCTGGGGCTTCAGAACTACATGCACACAGAGACACAAATCACGCCCAACACATCACACGCTAGACAAACATAACACACACACACACACACACACTACAACACACAAAAAGCACGCACCACACAAAGCATACATCACACACACACACGCACAACACTCACAATCCTGGGGCCTCCTGGAGCCTCTTCTGGTATCCAAGTCGGGCCTCCTGAGGCTTCCTGGGGGGTCCTGGTACACACATCTCAAGGTGTGGCAACCCCACTTGCGCTCGAGTGCGACTTCGATGTTGCATTTCACTCCTGCTTCAAACGCCCCTTCAGTTTTTTGCATGAGCCTGGGAACACACGTGCCACTTGTATATCATATCATGTATCCTTTCTTGTTGTTTCGCGCGAGCTCCCTGTGAATATCTGACATATATACATGTATATGTATATACATATAGTGTTGTTGTTTCGCGCGCGTGCTCTGTGAACATCTGATATTTATTTCATATATAGATGCATATGTATATATATATGTCATAGTGTTGTTGTGTCGCGCGCGTTCCCTGTGAACATATGATGTTATGTGTACATGTGTATATATATATATGTGTCCTGAACCTGTTTTGTCGCGCGCGTTCCCTGTGAATATATGATGTACATGTGTTGCTTGTTTTTATGGGCGCGCGTTCCCGAACCCGAGCCCGAACCCTTACACCCTTTACACCCTCTTCAAGCGAAACAAGGGCACCGGACAGCCCTATTACCATTACTACTACTACTACCACCACTACTACGACTACGACTACTACTACAACAACTACTACTACTGCTACTACTACTACTGCTACGACGACGACTACTACTACTACTACTACTACTACTACTACTACTACTACTACTACTACTACTACTAGTACTACTACTACTACTACTACTACTACTACTACTACTACTACTACTACTGCTACTACTACTACTACTACTACTACTACTACTACTACTACTACTACTACTACTACTACTACTACTACTACTACTACTACTACTACTACTACTACTACTTACTACTACTACTACTACTACTACTACTACTACTACTACTTACTACTACTTACTACTACTACTACTACTACTACTACTACTACTACTACTACTACTACTACTACTACTACTACTACTACTACTACTACTACTACTACTACTACTACTACTACTACTACTACTACTACTACTACTACTACTACTACTACTACTACTACTACTACTACTACTACTACTACTACTACTACTACCTCTACTACTACTACTACTACTACTACTACTACTACTACTACTACTACTACTACTACTACTACTACTACTACTACTACTACTACTATTACCACCATTACTATATTCCTTGTGTTCCTCCTCCTTTGCCTCCTTCCCACCTGGGCCAACTGGACCCATGCAAAACTCACGAAGACCAGCTTGACCGCAAATAAACTAAAGCCCCTTTCGATATTAGAAGCCATGGTTAACTGCGGAAAAAAAATCATCATCATTTCCCCCTCTGTCCACATCGCCATTCCTCATCATGTCCCCTCCCTTGGGAAGTGGGGGACGGCGTCGACGAAGATGTCGATGGGCAGGCCCCGCCCGAGCTCCGCGCCGAGCTTGCTTCTGGACTGCCCACGCCCACGGGGGCGCTCGCGGCCGCAGCCGGAGCCACCGCCCCCCGTGCCGCGTCCTTGACGCGACGACGACGGCGGCGACGACGACGACGACGACGACGATGACGGCGGCGGCGGCGACGGCAACGGTGACGGCGAAGGCGACGGCGACGGCGACGGCGACGACTCCGTGAGGAGGGCGAGGACGAGGAGGAGCAGGAGGAGGAGGAGGGGCAACGAAGGTGACCGGCAGCCTTGCTCTGCCTGTGAAGAAGTCTTCTCGTCTTCGTTTGTTGGGCGGCACACGATCTCGCCCGACCCGCGGTGAGGGCTCTTGGAGGAGGTATGCGGAGACGATAGGAGATTTGAGGATGAGGAGGAGGACGGTCTGCGTACACCTTACCCTCTACGAGGGTCCTTGCCTGGTGCCCAGCATTCCTTTGTGAGGGTTCGCATTTCAACAGGCATAACTTCCCTAGGAGCATCTTTGCGTTGGCCCCACACGGCAAGGCGAAGAGGATGAGGAGGGGTGGGGTGAGGATGAGGACGACAACCTTTCAACATCAAGCACTTCCTACGGGTATCTTTGCGTGGGCTTCGCATCGCACTCTCATCTACACTCGAGCCAGCCGTTCTGTGTCCAGTTCTACCCTCGGTGAGGGACCACATTGAGAATAAGATCCTCGGTGAGGGCAAGGGGCATCGTAATATTGGCCACTTTGCGTTGTCAATCGATGAGTTTTTCGGGGGACGGTTGCGGATTGGGGGGTGAGTTACTTGTTATCATTTCGGCATCTATCTATTCTGACATTTCTTCTGTTCCGCACTGTCGTTTCTAAATTTGACCTTCAACGTGCAGCTGCGTGGGCCTACCACTTTTCAACTATTAATCGCGATGCGTGTGCTCAGCATGTATCTTTATTGGCGCCCGCTTTCAGACGCTACGATCCTAGCAGATCAGAGTCGCTGCTACGCAAAAGGAGGAGCAGGAGGAAGAAGAAGAGGAGGAAGGGCGTCGAAACACCAAATAAAGAACGCTCACCTTGAGACGTCCAGGGGCCTCGTGGGGGCTCCTCAAACCCCTCATGATGCTGGTCTGTTGTAGTAGGAGGAGGAGGAGGAGGAGGAGGCGGAGAAGGAGAAGGAGGAGGAGGGGGAGGAGGAATAGGGTCCAGGAAGGGAGGATGAGAAGGAAGAAGATGAGGAGACGGAGGATTGGGGTTGGGACGGGGGGAGAAAGAAGAAGATGATGATCAGGATAATGATGAGGAGGAGGAGGGGAAGGACCTTGCAGCGCGCTATTGTCAAGCCCTGGGGGCCAGCGTGTTCCATTCGGAAATGAATCAGCTCACCACTCAGCAGGCGGTGCAGGTGATATTTGCTCAGCTCTCTTAGACGGATTTCGCCGTCTGGGTGGGTGTGTCAGAGGATCTAGCGAAGGCAAGGGAAGTGTAAGATGAGGGAGCAGGAGGGATGAGGAGGACGGTAAACGCTGATGACGATGCGGAGGGTAATAAGGATGAATATCACAAGGTCGATATGTCAGGCCATAGTTTCACCAGTAGTTGTAAGCATTCAATGTGTTGGCTAATTGGTTAGTTCGTCAGTTCGTTTATGGTTCAGCTTGAGGTAGAGCAACAGTGGTAGTAGTGGCCCTACTAGAACCAACAGCAACAGTAACAGTATCAGTAGTTGTAGCAGTCGCAGGAATAATAGTAGCGGTTGTGGAAGAAGGAAGAGGGTCGAGGCGAATGAGGCAGATAAGTGCAGGAGAAGGAGGACGAGGATGACTAGTATCCATGCTGATCGCAATGCTTGCGTGTACCTCAGACTGTGCGTCATGGCGCTCTGCATGTGCAAGCGATGTGGTGCAAGTTCTGTGGTGCAGGCTATCCTGCGCAAGCTATTGGGCGCAAGACAATGAAGAGCCCCTTAGTGCGACCACTGTGTAAGGAACATCGCTGGCCAGAGCACGAGGCGCCCACCGGGCAAAGCCCTGGCAGACCCACCCGCTTCAGGCGCCCACGTAGTGCCCGCGGGCGCCCACTGTGCAAAACCCGGAGCCCACGAAGCGCCCAAGGGCGCCCACCAGGCAAAACCCCAGCAGACCCAGCCGATTACGCACAGAGGGGAAGCAATAACCCCTTAGAACAAGCACTAATTTAGGGGGTTCGCACGAAAAAATATTATCCTGGCGAAGGACCCAACCATATGATGTTGTGGGTACCGCAATTGTGAATATCTTCTTCGGTGAAGCTCCCTATGGGGCCACGAAGCGCTGCGCTGGGCGGGGGGGGGAACGCATGCGGGCGGTAGCACTGGGGCCGTCGGTGAAGCTCTCTTTGGGGCCACGAAACGTTGCACTGGGTGGGTGAAAATACCAAATTAGGCGTGTGGAACGCATGCGGGCGGTCCCATTGGGGGTTTCGGCAGAGCTCCCCATGGGGCCGCGAAGCGTTGTAAAGGGTGGGTGAAAATGCCAATTTGAGTGTGGGGGACGCATGCGGGCGGCCCTACTGGGGGCTTTGGTGGGGCTCCCCATGGGGCCACGAAGCGCTGTACTGGGTCGGTGGAAATGCCACATTGGGTGTGGGCGACGCACGCGGGCGGCCTCACTGGAGGCTTCGGTGGAGCTCCTTGTGGGGAACGCATGCGGGCGGTCCCATTGAGGGTTTCGGTGGAGCTCCCTATGGGGCCACGAAGCGCTGTACGGGGCGGGTGACAATGCCAAATTGGGCATGGTGGACGCATGCGGGCGGTCCCATTGGGGGCTTCGGTGGAGCTCCCTATGGGGCCACGGAGCGCTGTACTGGGTGGGTGACAATGCCAAATCGTGTGCGGGGGACGCATGCGGACGGTCCCACTGGGGGATTCGGTGGGGCTCCCTATGGGGCCACGAAGCGCTGCATTGGGTGGGTGACAATGCCAAGTTGGGTGTGAGGGACGCATGCGGGCGGTCCCACTGGGGGCTTCGGTGGAGCCACCTATTGGGCCACGAAACGCTGTACTGAGTGGGTGAAAATGCCAAATTTGATGTGGGGGACGCATGTGGGCGGTATCATTGGGGGCTCCAGTGGAGCTCCCTACGGGGTCACGAAGCGTTGTACTGGGTGTGTGAAAATGCAAAATTCCGCGTGGGGGGCGCATGCGGGCGGTCCCACTGGGGGCTTCGGTGGAGCTCCCAATGGGGCCACGAAGCGGTGTGCCGGGTGTGTGAAAATGTCAAATTGGGTGTGGGGGGCGAATGCGGGCAGTCCCACTGGGGGCTTTGGTGGGGCTCCCTATTGGGCCACGAACGCTGTACTGGGTGGGTGAAAATGCCAAATTGAATGTGGGGGACGCATGTGGGCGGTACCACTGAGGGCTTCGGTGGAGCTCCCTATGGGGTCACGAAACGCTGTACTGGGTCGGTGAAAATGCCAAATTGGGCGTGGGGGGCGCATGCGGGCGGTCCCACTGGCTTCGGTGGAGCTCCCTATGGGGCCACGAAACGTTGTACTGGGTGTGTGAAACCAAAAAAAAACTGGACGTGGGGGACGCATGCGGGCGGTCCCGCTGGGGGCTTCGGTGGAGCTCCCTATGGGGCCACGAAACGCTGTGCTGAGTGGGTGACAATGCCAAGTTGGGTGTGGGGGACGCATGCGGGCGGTCCCACTGGGGGATTCGGTGGGGCTCCCTATTGGGCCACGAAACGCTGTATTGGGTGGGTGCAAATGCCAAATTTGATGTGGGGGGCGCATGTGGGTGGTACCACTGTGGACTTCGGTGGAGCTCCCTATGGGGTCACGAAGCGCTGTACTGGGTGTGTGAAAATGCCAAATTGGGCGTGGGGGACGCATGCGGGCGGTCCCACTGGAGGCTTCGGTGGAGTTCCCTATGGGGCCACGAAATGTGTGAGGGATGTGCCGAAATGGGTGTGGGGGACGCATGCGGGCGGTGGAGAGGAGGCGGGGGAAGAGGAGGAAAAGAGGAACGCGGAGACCGTTTCTTCAAAACGAGGACCCAACACCACAGGATGGTTGGGAATAAGGGGATTCTGCGGTTGAGCGCGGGAGGGGGGTGAGGAGGGGGAGGTGGAGGAGGGAGGAGGAGGAGGAGGAGGAGGAGGAGGAGGAGGAGGAGGAGGAGGAGGAGGAGCAGAAGGAAATGGGTGAGGAAGAGGAGGAGGGCGAGAAATAGGAGGGGGAGGAGAAGGAGGAGGTGGACGCAGCAGACGCATGAAAAGAAACAGGAAGTACGTACAAATGAGTTTGGCGAGGGATCCAATGATTTAGCTGATCCATGTATTGTTTGTGACGATACTCTCTGTGCACGATCCGTATGAGGGATGTGCCGAAATTGGCGGGGGAACGCGAACGAAAGCTGCATCTGGGGCCGTAGGTGGAGCTCCCTAAGGGGCACGAAGAGTGTGAGAGATGTGCCGAAGTGGGTAGGGGACGCATGCAAACTTTCCCACTGGGGCCGTAGGTGGAGCTAGGGGCATGAAACGTGCGAGGGATTTGCAGAACTTTGCGAGAGGACGCATGCAAGCTTTCCCACGGAGGCCGTAGGTGGGGCTCTTACAGGGACACGAAACGTGTGATGCGTGTGCCGAACTCGGTGGGGGAACGCATGCCAGTGGGGGCGCAGGTGGACGCCCCTGCGAGTCACGAGCCGCGTGATGGGTATATACGCCGAAACGTGCGAGGGGACGCGTGGAATCTGTCCCACTGGGGCTCTAGGTGGAGCTCCCTAGGAGCACCATGCGCTTGAGGGGTGTGCCGAAATGGGCGCGCGGTATGCCATACAAGCTTTCCCACTGGTGCCGCAGGTGGAGCTCCCTGGGGCAGACGGAACATCGGCCCACGCAGGCCCTGCGGACTGTCCCCCGCTGTGGCCGTGGGTGGAGCTCCGGGAGGAAGACGGCACGTGTGAGGGAGGCTCCGAGAGGAAGACGGCACGCGTGAGGGAGGCTCCGGGAGGAAGACGGCCGTGGGATGGGTGCGGGGACGCCATGCACATGTTCCCACTGGGGCCAGACGCGGAGCCCCCCAGGGGGTAAGACACGTGCGA